TTTTGCGAGTGGTACAAACCCAAAAAAGGAAATCGCATTTGTAAATAAACTAAGGGATTAGGACGTTAGGGTTAGCGTTAGGGTTAGTGTTAGGGTTGTGAACTTTAGTGATAATATGAGTTTTTTTATATGTAAAATTTCGTTCCCGTTATTTTTTATTAGTCCAACAAGGTCGATTTAAATACTAGTTTCTCTTTTTCGGGATTTTTTGTGTTTTTCTTCGCTTTGCTACGTGTCTGGCTGATCCGGGATCATCACATTTTACATTCTCCTATTGGCTAATTTCCCTTTTTGGATTTGTATCACTCGCACAAATAAGTACACGCATCCAATTGTAGGCTACAAAAAGGGCTAATACAATATGACATCCAGAAAATGTGATAAAAATGGAAAAATTAATGATAACGATACGTAAAGAATTGTATCTCATCAACTCTGCGAGATCTGACTGTTGATGTGAAATCGGAGCGTTTATTATACTTTTATGGAAATTTGAGCTCTGTAATGCATTCGTACCTTTTTCAAAAAGGTTGGTATTATTCGGAGAACTTATTCCCATTCAGCTACTACGTATGGCGGACCAGATTTTCCGAAAATATTACTGATAAGACTTTGTTGCATATATGAACCGCATCACTATAAAGAGGGCTTATTAAGCGAAATTAATATATATCGAATCCACAAACCGCAATCTTAAATTTAAATAATCGAATCCATAAAATTTCCAAAATGCAAACTACTTTCTCTGATGTAAAATTAGAATCTCCCGTGAACGGTTCAATTTTAAATTCAGATATGAATAAAAGATTTTATATAGGAAAGGAGCAAGAGAATAATAATTTTATTAGCACCATGTCTATTGACAACCCAATAAAGAAAGTGTATCCAGGAGATTTTAATCCAGAACTATGTGTTGTTCCAAAAGTACGCAATGCAACAGTCCACCCATCTGGATCTTCTTTCTTCGGCTTAGGAAACGATCGCATTATTGCCAGATATAAATATTTAAATCCTCAAGTTGATGTAAACGTTTTGAGAAATTGTCTAGAATATAACCCAAAATTTTATAAATGGGCAGGTAATTACTTCGATTTATGTTAAATTTATAGTATTTTGGTTTAGTAATGTATTACTTTCTATATTACTTCTCTTAGCTTCTGATTTATTTAATGTAATTGATTCAAATGGTAAACGACAAATGATAATTGTTGAATCTGGATCAAGTCCAGCAGGACAATGTGGAATGCTTTCGTTTAATATAAATAATAAAAGAGAGAATGGATATAAACGCGTGATACAAACAGCATTTAAACAGGCCCTAAAAGATGCCGATCCCTCTCTTGGAGAGCTTGCTGTAGTGTACGATAAAGCTTGCAATGAAATAGAAGTAACTGGATATGCGGCTGCAATCTCCGAAGAGACTAAAGAACATGTTTGGATTGTATTGCTTCAAGATGATGCTAGATATGAACAACCTATTAAATGGGAGAATCAAATTATGTATATTAGAGATCAAGATGGAGGTTACTATCAAATAAACACTAATTATCATATTAAAAATTACTTGACTAAAATTAACTATTGCTTTTTATAATTAGCTTGGCATTCTATAAGAGCATGCTTTAAGCATATGGCTTATAAACCTTGGATTCTTTTTCCTCTAAAATCTAAGACTATGGTTTTTAATAATATAATCTCATGCTTAGCTGGAGGTCATAACAAAGTTATGGCATCAAAATCATTTGAATTATTTAATAATGAATTATCTGGAAGTGGCCTTGGCATTCGTTTTCCAGAGACCATATGTAATGTAAACAAGAGTGAAATTTCTTCATGTGTTGAAAAGATGGGAGGCCGCGCAGTGATCAAAGCTCCCTATGGCAGCTGTGGTAAATACTTTTTATACAAAATTTTATTTTCAATTAAAACAAAGTAACAAGCTCTATTATTGTATTTAAATTGTAAATAACATGGATCTAATTATCTTTTGCAAAATTAGGACAAGATATTTACATAATTACTAATTCGGAAGAATTGAATAAATTCTATGATGATAAACATCATTACGAAAAGTTTATTGTACAATCTCTTGTTGAAAATGCATTATGGTCTACAAAATTACATCCTGGAAAATTCTACCATGTTGGTACTGTGCCAGATCGTCATAACCAAATTTTTGTTAATGATTTGAGAATGATGGTATCTGCTGATGAGACTGGATTTCACCCTGTGGTTGTTTTTTCACGACGTGCTCGTAAGCCACTACCTACTTATCTACCAAATAATTCTAATTGTAAGTTAATCACTTATATAGCACTATTTTTTTATCTTTTTTTTTTTTGTAATGTTATTTTTATATTACACTATTTCTGAATATGCATTACATAGTTTTAATAAAAACTATCTTATTTTAAATATAATAGGGAACCCATGGGAGATCTTTGGAACAAATGTATCTGTTAAATTAGATTCTGGATGGATACCAGAATATGAAAGAGTGATTACACTAGACCAGAAAGAGTTAAATATTATTGGATTAGGTATTGATGAATTAATTGATGCATACGTGCAAACTGTGTTAAGTATTGTTGCTATAGATAAAATGTGTCAAAAACTTTTGGTTAATAATGAATTCAATTTCGAATTATATCACACATTGAATCCTGATGATGTCTTGTTAGGAGAGTTGTTATTGTAAATTAAATTGCTAATATTAGAAACTCTAAAATGGCGAGCAAATTGTTTCATTTAACCAACTTTGTGTAACTAATGTATGGGGTTGGGTAGTTGGTCGAATAAATAGGTTTTGTATACAGGATATACTAGAGTTTAGTTGGCATTTATGTAATTTTAGCGAATACGGCTTGTAGTAAACTTTTTGTAATAAGAGAATAATACCGAAAAGCTAGAATTGCCTTTATTTATAATAAAACTATGTTAACTTTTACATTGTCATAATGAGCTATATAACCTAAAATCCTGAATGATCTCTTTTGATTGAATCCCCTCTTTAGAGCTTATATATAGCCTCTTTGGATAGAAAGGACTTTTTTTAGATGTTTTATTCCTTCTGCCTGGGAAACTCAAATCCGGCATACCCGATTAGATTCACTGAGATTGTGTGGCACGCTATCCGTTGACTTATAATCTACATCACACATTAGAGCGTCCAGAATGGTCATTGCAAAATTATTCACTTTTATCTTCAATTAATTACTATCTTATATGAGGAAGGGACCAGAAACCGCGATTTACGGTAGTCAAATTTTTCGGATTTTGGAATATTTCACAAGTTCATCGTAACGATTATGTCATGGCCTAACAGCGGCTAATACTTATAATTTGGCATTATCATAGCAAAGAACATTCAACTTCTGGAACTATTAATTTAGTTAATTTAAATTCGAAACTTCTAAAATGAAAGCATAACAGCAATGTTGATCGCCACATAAAATAGGATCCACAATACTTATGTACATATTGTTGTGAACAAGAGTGGAATGTAGTGGACCGGGTAAAATCGCCACCCAAAAAGTTTCGAGCATCACGTGATAAATATGTCGAGCACCAAAAAAGTCATTTAACTTGAACAAACAAAAAATTTACAGACTAAAAAATAATAGCGATAAGCAATAAATTAATCATTTTATTATTTCAAATAAACTAGATGTAATATTTATTACAGTCATAAAGTATTATTATTACAGTACGATTTTTCTAGTATTTGGAATATTCCATTGCCTTTTAAAATGATTATAATCATCCTCCAATTTATGCAATGGCTCAA